TGGTTTCAGTCCCTCACACTGGAGGAGCTGCAGCACAGCAGAGCAGCTCATATCTTGGTGGCCAGGAAGCAGCGAGGGCTGTGCTTGCAGGCTGTCTTCTAAATTTCCCCCTTTATTCAGTGGTGTCCCAAGCCCAGCCTGTGGTTTGGGTGCTCACATTCAGGCTCTCTCTCTCTCCCCCTCCTAACCTCTGAAAATGCCTCACAGACACAGCTGTGAGTTACTAATTTCTTAGGTACTACTCAATCCAATCAAGTTGATAAGATCAAGCATCTCACCATGGCTGGCTTGCTGAAAGCTGGGAAGCCAGTGTCTTTGAGGGTGCCAATTAGCTGCTCTCTGCCAATCCTGGAATTGCCTGACCACAGGGCCTTAACCACACCCATGCTGCTTAAGCTAGTGATCTGAGATAATGCATTGTGGAATAGGAAACCAAGTTTATGTATGTTTTTAAGAATAAAGACTTACCAGCTAGGAGAGGTTACTCACACTTGTAATCCTAGCTACTTGGGAGGCAGAGATTGGGAGGATGGGAGTTCCAGGACCGTCTGAACAAAAACTTTGAGAGATCCCATCTCAACCAATACATAGGCACATGACAGGATCATGCAGCTCACCTAAGTATGTACTCCCCAAGGTCAATGCAAAGGACAGACAGGCATCATTCTATCTGGAATGCTCCTCAGAGTGTGAGCCAGCTGGCTGTACTGACTTCATTTTACTTAAGAGCATGCTGGCAACAGTTTATAACTACATGAGAAAGCTTAAATCCCAGAGAAGTTTTGCTCATTATTCATAGCAACATTTTTCATGATACTGTCCAACATCAGATAATGTTGCTTTTGATCAACACGCCATGTTTGAAATTTTGCCAACCATTCCTGGGGTAACAAGTGTTTGTTATACAAAATATAAAAAGTTATTTCCAAAAACAAAAAAACAAAACCAAGCTTCATCTGACTCTTCAAGCTGGGAGGAGACACACTAAGGATGAAGAAGTAACCACTTTCTCCCTAAGAAATTCATGTCTAGAAGCATTCTGAAATGATTGGGAATGTTTCCAGTTTTATGAAAACCTACTGTCAGAAGCTGTCACCCATAAAAAAAAGGACACATTTAAACCTGGTAAGCAAAATCTACAAATAAGGTTCAGTAGATCTGAACTCATTTCTCAGTGAGAGTAAAAACACAACTTTCCGAATTATTCAACAAGAGTAGTTACATTGAGAAGGATGCAAACTTTATTATGAAGAGTTTAACCAGCAGCCATTTGAACCCACAGTAACATTCTCAGTTATAAAGGAACCACTCATAAACTTACCTTAAAACCAGAGCACTTGAAAATGATTTCATTCTCCTCCCTCTCTCAGTCTCTATGTGGACACAGAGAGAGAAACACATGGTTTTCCTTAAAACACACACACAACCCCCCCAAAACCCCACAAAGTCTAAAACATTTTCACCTCAGCCTTTTTTTTTTTTTCTATTTCATCTATCGTATGTGCAGGGGCATCGTGTCCCACACTGGAGCACAGTGGACGGTGGTGATGGTGCTTTCACAGGGCTGCGTGTCCCATTGCATTTGTCCTCAGAAGAAAACTTATGAGAAAAGTTGTAGTCTATTTTTCATGGCATACTTCTAGTTTTTAGTCCATTTTTTTGGTGAATGATATGACAGGACCCAATTTAATTTTCTCCAGCAAAGCCATCAGTTTTCACTGAGTAGTAATCCATTATGGCTAGGATGACTTTTAAAAGCCACTGCCTGTTGAGTATATGAAATAATTATCAAAATGAACTCCAGGAAATGGAAGCAAGACTTTTTTCCTCTGTTGTTGTTTTTCTTTTCCTTTTGTCTTATTTGTTTATCTATCTTTGGGAGGTAAGGGGACACAGAAATGGAAGGACAAAGGGTGAACAAATGTAGTGGTGGCCCTCACTAGACACTATGCTGCAAATGAAGTATACCACTTGTGGGTAGGGACAGGAAGGAAAAATTAGGAGGGAAAAATTGAGTGCAAGGGAAGGGTGACATTGTCCAAAAAGAAATGTACCTATTTATAATAATAAACTGTGCTCTAAATTCTCAAAATTATTCAAGCTAATTATTTTCCATTAACTTATTCACATGTATGCTAGTGTAACTGTTAATTTTTGCACTTTAAATTTGTGTGTGCTGGGCCTTTGCATAAATTCAGGGCCTGGGCACTTTCTCTGTTTTTTGTTCTGTTTTGTTTTGTCAAGGTTAGCCCTCTACCACTTGAGCCACAGTTCTACTTCTGGCCTTTTGATGGTTAATTGGTCTCTCCTTGCCCAGGCTGGCTTTGAACCACAGTCTTGAGATTTCAGCTTCCTGAATACCTAGGAAGTATTGATATATTGCTGTATTCTTTTGGTACCTCAAGTTCCTTCTAGTTTTTCTTCTTTCACTGAGTATTTTGCTATTTTTCATTTTGTCCCATTTCCCCAAGATTAAATGATTTTAAACGATGCTATACTGTATAGAAATCAACATTCTCTTCCATAATCCTGTGCATCTGGGACTCTAGAAATGTCACTGTCCCTGCCACACACCTTCAAATTAACATTCTCAGGTCATACAGTAAGTCTTCCCACAGGGGACCATCAGGGAAAACAAGGCACTTCCCCGGCTCATATGTCCCTTTTTGCAGCACGTACCAACAATCTATCCAAGAAGTATATAGTGGGGAGTAAGGAGGGAATCTACCAGCAAGCCCACAGTTGTTTTTATAGTATTTTAGCCTTTTGATTGGCTTTGTACTGAAGTATTAACCCAGTGGGACTGACATATTTACAACAAATACTATCAAATGTTTTGAAGCTCCTGGGCTCCTCAGCTCTCATTCGCTATACCAAGGTTGTAATAACCCTGAACGTTATAAATTTTTCCTTTACAATCTTACTACTGTGTAGGCATGCCTACATAATACTGTTTTTGAACTTTATATAAAGGAATCCATGCTGGCTGGCTCTCTTCTGAGTTGCTTGTTTCACACTCAGGACAATTTCCTGGGGTTCACCCACACTGATTCCCACAGCTGGCTGAATCCTTACTGCTCTACAGACATCCATTGCACAAATACACCTCATGTGCTCTCTTTACTGCAGATAGGGATTTACATCCCATCTCTCTTCAGTGCTGAGGACTGAACCCATGGCTCTTCACATGCAAGGCTGTAAACACTGTTGCCGCGCTACACATACTCTACTCCTAGCTCTGTCGTTCTTTTTGGTCATTACTGTTTGTATACAACAACACTCCTGCATGTTTCCTGGCATGCACACTCAAGGTTTTCTAAGTATAGAGTAGGGTACCAGATATGCTTGTACCTAACTTTCCTCCCCAGGAAAAAATAACGTTCCCCATGTGGTGGTTGATCCCTACTTCTGTGCCAACTGTAGGAGGGCACAGTCTTCACAACCCTTCCAGTTGTGGCTATTTTCTGACTCCTTACAGTTTCTGCCAAATTTGGTGGTAAAAAAGTGGTATTTAGGTGGGATGTTTTTGGTGTTTTTTTTCCTTGCATGTGCTGGTCCTGAGACTTGAATCAGGGCCTGAGCAGTCCCTGAGCTTTTGTACTCAAGGTTAGTACTCTACCACTTGAGCCACATCTCTGCTTCCAGCTTTTTGGTAGTTAATGGGAGGTATGAGTCTCACGGGCTTTCCTCTTTGGGCTGGCTTCAAACTATAATCCTCACCCTCCTGAGTGGCTAGAATTACAGGCATGAGCCACTAGTATCTGTTGGCAGTATCTATAGTTTGTGGTTGTTGTTTTGGTTGTGTGGCTTGAATTCAGGGCCTAGGCAGGGCCTGGGCATTGACCCTGAGCCTCTTTGTGCTCAAGGTTAGAGCTCTACCACTTGAGCCACAGTACCACTTGCTGTTTTTAAGTGGTTAATTGGAGATAAGAGTCTCACAAGGACTTTCCACCTCATCTGGCTTCAAACCACAATCCTCAGATCTCAGCCTCTTGAGTAGCTAGGATTGTAGGCATGAGCCATGGGCACCTGGCTATTATTTAGTTTTAATGTGCATTTCCTCATTATGAAAATAAGGGTTACCATCTTCTCGGGGCCACTTCTTTCTCCCCTGAAATGGTTGCCTGAGTTGTCCTCATTGCAGATCAGCACGCAGGTGCTCTGACTATGTGATATATTGTGAATTTCTGCACCTTACTGCAGACTGAGCTGCTTTCCACTTTGGCACGTCTACAGTAAACAAAACTATTTGCTATCAATGTAGCCAAATTATGTCAATTATAAACTATCTTGTTTATGAAATCCTTCCCTACTCCATTAGCTGTAATCACTGTTTTGGTAGTAATTTGTATCTTACATTGCTAGTTGCCCTCCCATTCTGTCCTGTTTTAGGTAGGTTTGAGTATCCTTGGCCCTTTGCTTTTTCATTTGTATTTTAGATAAGTTTGACAAATTCTACAATGAAAACCATTTGGGATTTTCATGGAAAATCGAATCTAATGAATTTTGAGAAACTAGAGTTGAGATCTTGATAAAATTGAGTCTTTGTACTTAACACATCCCTTCCATGGAAATCTGGCTAGGCTTGTCTGGAACCATGATCCCCTCAATTCCAGCCTCCCCTGTAGCCATGATTATAAGCATGAGCCACTGGCACCCATCTTCAAGCCAGTTTTGATTTAAGGTCCCCCAAAGAAATTGTATGCCAATTAAAAACTACACATAAACCCATGGACATACTAAATATAAACCTACAGAATATGTATATGTATGTGTATATACAGAAGTACATAGTTACATACCAAGTTTTGTGCCACTGATAAAGGGGTCAAGAATAGTGTTCAGCAGGCTTTAACTGTGGTGACAAAGACTGTTGCTATGGTCATCCTGCAGGAGGCATTAGAATACACTGTGAACAAAATCTAATTTCTGTATTGTAACAAAGTTCCAGTGCCTGGGTATTGAGGCCAGGGGCATTGTGCACAATTATAACATAAGGCCAAGGATATCTGTACAAGATTTATTTCAATAATCACAATACTTTATAGAGTGATAGAAATATACCCTAATACAGAAGGAGTGATTCAAAATCCACCACGTTAAAAGAAAAAGGAAAAGGCAGTGGCTTTAGATCCAGGTTCTACCCACCACTCTGTTCTCCTTGGATTAACAAATGAGCTGATGTGCAGAACACCACCTGACAAACAAGCACCCCCAGGTCGAAGACTTCGTTGCCTTATCCTTTCTCTGGCTGTGCTGGTGGCTGGCAACCCCTGGTCTGTATTTGATCTCCAAATTCTGTATACGCAATCCTGTTTCTAGCCACAACTCCCCACAACTTCACATTTAAAGGATGTAATAGACAGTAGGACTAATGAGAGTCAGGTAAACTGCCATCTGTTTAACAAAATACACCCTCTAAGAGAACAGCCAGTCTGAATGCATTTAGTACAGTCACAACATTGAAATGACATGTGAGAATACAAAATGTTTATTTTGTTCCAAACCACAGAATTCTTAGCCCCAGAGCCACTCTACAAAATTTCCAGAAGCATTTTCTAGACAATGCAGTCCAACCTGAAATGAAGATACTTCCCACCAGCAGGGATGTGGCATAGGCTAGGTATGGTCCTATAGGAAAGGATCTGAATAGGGTTATCTTCAGTTCTCCTATAGCCACTCCATCAATAAGCAGAAACTTCTACTCATGCCACTGGGTTCCGGAAAGCAGTTCAAATTAGGGTCTTGGGACAGTGGAGGAGGCAAGGTGTTAATGACTACAGTTACTCAAAGTGAGAGGGGACAAAAGATGAGTCATTTTCCTTAGGAAAAAACAGGGCTCCTTTCATGTATTCTGGTGATCTGAAAATGAGGTGAATTTCAACAGGGTAATGAAAGTAATGAGAGTCATGTCTCCATGAACTCCTATGACCTCCATTCTAACTTCTAATAAAAATGGATTTCATGTTACACAATCTTATTGAAAATAGTAATTACAACCAAGAAGGTCCTCTAGACCTCTTATAGGTGTCAGCCAAGGGATTCACATTTGACCTTGAATTTTAAAGTCCCTTCAAGCAGTCTAGACTTGGATAAAAGTAAACTTAATATTGCAAGCTAAATGCTCAAGGACACACCATAAAAATCAATTTAAAACATCCAAACAATGGCTGGAAATAGCCAATGCAGGTTTTCTGTTTGCCTTTTAGCTGTTTTTTAATATCTCAGATTAGTGTATATTCATAAAACAATGCTCAGCTAGTCTAATAATAGCTGCTTAATAATTGAGTTTTAGCTCCAAGGCAATACCTCTTGCATAAATCACAGAAATAATTAACTGCTGTAAGACAGGGGGGAAAAAAAACCCAGAAAAACACAGGCAACCTCAGTAAGATGACAAAATTTTGGAGTCACAGACTGTCTACAAGGAGATTCAATAGGTTATTTAAATACTATGATACAAGAGCTCCTGCTCACATAATAACTGCAGAAACCAATTCTGTTTGCTGAACCACCATTGCCTTTGCTAGCAAATATACAGACCACTTTGAATTAATTCTTTTGTGCTGAAACCTTTAAATCCCTTGGTCAGTACAGAATATTGTGAGGTGATGCATGTACAAACTCTTCCTGAGGAATTACTTATGTGTGCAAATTTGCAACCCAACAGAATACGTGGCATACAGCAAGGAGAGTGGCAGATGGACAGGTCTGAGCACTGAGGACACGTGTGCAGTGTTTGTGACAATAAGCATCCATCTACCTCTCTGCAATCTTACCTCCCTACAAATAAGCCTGATCCTAACAAAGGGGGGGCAGAGGGGGGGGGGGCGGAGCTGTGGACATCTGCTACATTTGCAGCAGGAAAACAGTAACCTTTCTACACAATCCAAATTGGTGCTTCTTCTCACCGACCTTGCTTCACACCTGGCTTTGCTTTCTGCCCCAAAGACAAAAAAGGAGTAATTCCTGCTGGATCTGGGGGCAACTGTGACAACAGAGGTCATCAGATGTGACACAGACTTAAAGCTTAAAGCCAGCTTTTAAAATATATACTGTTTCTCAAAGCAACCATCATCTATTTACTTTGACATGTCATTATTTCAAGACCTGGCTTCCTTAGTAAGGGTCTAGTTTTAGGCCATACATATATACCAGCCAGTTTAGCCAAATTATCTGTGTATGTTGAATAATCGATATAACTGATCAACCTGCATGAACAATACTGTCTTCAATTACTTTTGCTTTCAATGATTTGATATAAAAGCTTGTATTTAGTTAGGGTAGAAAAAAACTATCATGTCATGGGAAGAAGAATACAAATCATCATGAAAGGTGAATACTTTTTGGCAAACAGTACTTACGTCTATACAAAATGGGAGGAGGGCAAATTTTTTTTTCCTTTCATGTTGCAAACTAAGAATAATTCTGTTAAGGATTTCAATTAAAAAGCAAATCCAATTTAAAACAGGAAAAATTTCAAACTGCAATGCACCTCAAAGGGCCAAGATACTTAAGAACCAGGACACATGCACTAGGTGTTTGTACCCCCAATGCTTTCTAATGACAGCTTTATGGAACACAGTCTCAATCCACAGTTGGCTACAGTCACTACAAAAACTTTAAGAAACTTTAAGAAACTTAGATTTTCCTTTGCCTACTTAACACATACACAAGTAAAAAAAAAAAAAAAAAAAAACATTTCCACTAACAATAATGCAAAAGCATTAAAATCCAGGAATTTTAATGCCAATTTGCATCAAAATATAATGCTTTTATAGGGAAAGTTCTGTCTCTGGCCAATAAGGATGCTCTCTTCCAGAAAAGGATTTGGGTGAATTTTTAGAATAATGAAGAAGTCACCTTTGTTTAAAGAAAGGTTTGAATTTTATTCCCTTCAGAAATATTGCTAAAACTACTCAAGAGGATGTCAGTTCTGAATGTTATTTATAAGCCTGCAACAAACACTGCAGTGACATTTGGGCCTGGGATAGAGTGGCACTTTTGCCGGCACACAGGGAGCTGTGCGGGAGTCACAGTAACAGACTGCACACTTTCCAGCAGTCATCCCGTGTTCTCCCCTGCAACCTGACATTCAGAGAGTAAATGAGCCCAATTAAAAACCTCCGAAAACAACTTACCAATCTAGTTGATAAATACTTAAATCTGACCACCTTTCCTTTTACTGCTTTGCACACATCTCAGGAATGAAGGGCTTCCATTAGTTGCAATGCTTTGTCTCAATATCCCACTTCTCTTTCACCATCACACTCCAAGCAAAGGACATGCTGAACTGGCCAAGGCAGCTGAGAAACATGTCTATCAAAAGTGCAGCAGCATCCCTGGGGTGTCTCCATCCCAGTTCTCCAAAGAGGTAAATATTATTCCTCTGATGAAACGTGACAGACTGAAACCTATGCTCAATTTATGTTCAAGCAAAACTGAAAAGAAAAAATTTCTTCCTTGCCACATCTATTTTTTCTTGACTTTCGAAAACAACTAGAAAAGCCTTAGAGACTTATGAAACAGCACTGTGGGTGTGGCAAAACAAAAAAATAAGAATTTGCCATGGCTGGAAGAAAGCCTTCAAACACCACTGCACCTTCTCTAGTTTGCTCAAAAGCACAAAAAGAAGATGCAGAGACGACTCTACCTTTTTTTTAAGTACTTGTCTCACCCATTAAAATGAAATGGATCAGGAACCCCACACTGTGGATTATATTTGGTTTTAACAGCTATATTGCTCCCTAGAGTGTCACAGGAAGCAGCTCCTACTTGGGCACTTTCCATAATATTACAAGGGGCTTTGGTGCGTCAGCACTGCCCACCCCTGGCCTACAGAGGCTATGAAATGAGGTGAGGGTGATGGCAGGAATGGAGATGCTCTGAGTTAGTCCACATGTGAATAGAAGCACACCCTGGCATGGCAGGGGCCATGTGCAAGCAATTCTGTTGTCCCATTAATAGCATCCCATGACAAGTCACACCTGCCATCTTGATGGGTTGCCTTGCGATACCACCAACTTCTCCAGAAATCATTTGGGAGTCTGACAACACCATCACACAGTTGCAAAGTGCACAAAGCTAAAGGCACAGAGTAGAAAAACGTTGTGAACTGATGGGGAAAGCTGTAGTGAAAGCAGAGTTAGCAACTTCCTTCAAAGACTTTCTAATGCTAAACAAAGGCCAACTCTTATTTTTAAACAGATTGTTTAGGTTATGCGTGAAAAATACTGCATTGTAATCAACTATTTGGTTTTAAAGCAAAAGAATCTTGACATGTGAAACAAATATGCTCAAGTGCCAAGTCCACAAATAACCAAGTGCCTCAAAAAAAAAAAAAAAAAGAAGATTCTTCTGTTCTTATATTTTTGGAGAAAGCTGCTGATTTTGGCTGTCGGATTTCACTTAGCAATGGTCAGTCACTTTCCAAGATGCTTGCTCCTCATCGAATTTGGAAATAAACTCACTAAGATTGTCCCAGTTCAAAATCACCCCCAAGTCTAGCAGCAACTGTGTTTTTATGTCTTTGTTTTTTGTTAAGTTTTTGTTTTTTAAAATTACAAACAAAAGTAAGAAATCTGGCATCCTCTTCCAAGAACAGCCTTGCGACGGAGCTCCTGAGTGGCACAGGCCGCTGTGCTCCAACAGTCCCTGCAGCTCCAGTGCGCCCTCTCTCTGAAGGACGGGTCATTGCACACATTCACTATCTGTAGCCCCTGGAACCTGCACATGCAGATGAGCTGTCTGAAAAAAGGCAAGACCATGAACAATCATGAGGAGGAGGAGACAGCACTGGAGATGGTATTAAACACATATTTCTCTCCAAAGAGAGTCCATTTTTTTTTTTTTAAAAATTCTTACAATTTTGTGATTTTGAGTAAAGATTCTGAGAAAGGAGATGCACCCTGGGTCACTATCCCATCCTCACAGACACTAAAGAATCTGGTGGCCTTCTTGGCAGCTGCCTGAAAACCACCATGCCCCTCTCTCCCTGACCTCCCCCTCCCCCCCGCTACCCGGGCCTTCAGAACAGCCCTGAGCCTGAGCCCAACCACACACAGTGCAGTACATACACAGCAGAACACTACAGATAGATCAGACCAAACACCATACTTACTATAAGCCAACTCATCCCCAGCTCTCTTCCGGGACTGGTCACCTCTAGAGGTAAAGAAAGAGGAGACAGTCAACAGAACTGATTAGTTTTTCCATATTCAGAAACAGCAGAAATGAATCAATGTAACCAATAGTGCAAACACAGTAAATCTTTAGGCTCTAACCCCACAACTTGTTTTAAAATGAACATTAAATATAAACTGAGTCATTTGTAATCTGAGTAGCTTTAATCTGAGTAGCTTAGCTAACGGGTGGTCTTTTAAATATAGGAAGTTAATAAATGATCATCTATAAGGGTAAGTTTACAATGAGTTCTAGAAATAGGTTCAGACTAAGTATACCCTCTAAAGACAAATCCAGATTCTATCATCACCACTCCCAGTGACCTGCACATACAATTCAAATATGAAATGAGAGAAAAATCTAAAAATCTTCCCTTAAAAGCTCTACTGAAACCAAGACTAATTAAAAAAAAAAACAAAAACTAATGGGGGTGGAAGAACATGACCCTGTATGTACATTAACCAGCCCATTCTCAAACACTAGTTGTACTCTAGTTAAAAACCCATTATTTTGCTTAGGCCCTTAACGCCCCCAACCCCCAATACTGTTTGTATTTTTGTCTCTCCAGAGTCTCAGTATCTGCTGTACAATGCTTAAGAACCTATGAATTACAACAATTAATTCTCTGCTGCTTCTCACTTTCTTACAAACTTATATCACCCTTCCTGAAACACTTCCACTTCTCCCCCATGGTACAGAGGCTTGAACTCATACTTGCTTATCTGCTAGTTTACCACTTGAACCATGCCTCCAGACTCAGCAACTTTTCTGTCTAGGCTGGCTTTGAACTGAAATAGTCCATATTCTCAGACTCCTGAGTAGCTAGATTACAGGTATGAGCTATTTATTGGCACCTAGCGAAAAACTTTTTCTTTAGCTTCTTCTAATTTTCCTCCCACCTATTTACCGTTCCTTGTCTGTTTTCTGCCTAACAATTATCTTTGGTCCTCTTTCTTCTACACACACTTCTTTAGTCTAAGACAATAATCAAGTAGCCTAGTGGCTTTATCTTCTCTACATGCCTGTGGCACCTAGATGCATATGTTCAGCTCTGAGTTCTTCTGTATCTTCGGATATGCAAGTCTGACTAACTAATCACCAATATATACATTGCAAATTTACCATGGCCAGAACACAACATCAACCCCTTTTCATCTCCATTAAAACATCCTAGACCCTCTGAAATCTCCCTATGACTTCACCTTGCATCATCTCCAGTCACCCATTCCCACCCAACTCCACTGCTACAATCCCAATCCAGACCACTACCATCTTGACCCCACACAACTGTACAATTTCATTATTAGTCTAGACAAGAGTCACAGTGAGCTTATGTAAAACACTTAAGATTAGTTCACACCTCTGGTGAAAGCCCTTCACGATTTCCCACCAAGTTAAGAAATCAATTTCCAATTCACATGGTTCCCGCCTCATTTTCCACCACCTTCTACTTCTGTCACAACGCTTCAGCCACCCTGGCTTTGTCAGCACATCTGTACTGAGTGTTGCCTGCAACATCCCTCAGGCAGCCACACAGCTGCTCCTCACCCTTCCACCCTGCTCAACACCCTCTCCTTGAGGGCATTTTTACCATGTCAACTGAAACCCAAGGTTTCATGCTGCTTATTTTAAATTTTCTTCACTAATTTTCATTTGAAATCATACTTATTTACTCGTTTACTATTTGTCTCCAACATTAGAGTATAAGTCTCATGAGGGCAGAAACTTTTCCTGCCTTGTCTACTCCAGTACCTGTAACAGTGTCTGGAGATAAACCACCCGTATTTGTTACATACTTTGTCAATAATTCAATCTCACAGATTATTAACATGCTCACTAGCCCAATTACTTCCTACTCTGACACTCCAATTTTCCAAACCACTAAACATAATATTCTGGCCACTAAGCTAATGCTTATTCTGAAAGATTGTAATAATGAAGAATCTTCCAGAAATGCAACTCTTCCCGCTCCCATTTTCCTCTGACTGGGTTGCAGACCACCAGACATTCTGCCAGACAGGGTGAGGAGCCTGCATGGCTGGCAGAGAGACAGCACCTCATGATCACTGGCGGCTGTGCATTTAGAGAAAACCTTGCACAGCACTTTCCATGGACTTGTCTCTAACAGCCTCAAAAGCTCTAAACAGATGTGGCTTCATTGCTTTTTAAGCTTTACCATATATACCAAGAGTTCATTCCTCTCTCTCAATAGTTAAATAAAAACTGGGCATCCACAGAGGAGAAGAACATCATAAATGTGATCCATGCCAAATATGTTTTCAATAATCCCACAAGTCTGGAAATCTATGAGCTGTCCACAAAACCAGACTCCTTCCCAGAAGTAAGTCCAAATATAGGGGTGACCCTTCAGATAAGACCCCTCCACCACCAGGTTCTATTTAGTTCTGAAATTTAAGTAACCATTTCTCAGGAAGAACATTTTGTTTGTTTTCACGAGCTACTTGGAACACCTTTTGTAGGGGATACCACAAGTTGGTCTGAATAAGGATGCTCCAGCTGAGGACCTACATTTATACCTTCGATAACGTGATTTCTGACAATACACACCAAACTGCTGCCCTTCTTTAATCAATTCAATTACTCAGAAGAGGGGGGAAAAAGGATCCTTGAATTTATATGTTAGTTCTATCTTTGAGAAAAGTCTATTTCTGTACCCCTAAAGATTACACAAAAACTCAAGCTCCGATGAAAATGTGCTCCTAACTGTAGAGGAGGGTATCATGTGTTGTCAAATTATCTCAAAACATTTCAAAGACATCCTCTACACCATCCACATGAAAGCTGTGTGCTGCCAATTGAGAGGTCTAATCACATAAGTGGAACAATGTCTTAAATGAAAGTCATTTGCAGCACTAAGCATGAATCATGTGCTTGGTGAGGCAAAAACCATAAAATGTTTGCTCCTCTACAAGAGCCAGTAATAAGAATTATTATTGGCTAGCCTATACTAGTCTCAAAACCTTTTCTTTTTTTTAATCTGCAGGCACCATTTCTCCCCAAACAAGCCCAGCTAGACAAAAGTCACAGCACAGAACACACTGAATGTGACAGGACAGAGGATGGCTGTCCATGCACACGAGCAGAGGCAGGCAGTCCACCAGCTACTGACATGACAGTCCTTCCTGAGCAGTGTAAGTGAACTTGCAAGCAGACACCAAGTAACCAGGACTACAAAAGGAAAGCAGTTTTGGTTGTGGCCAGGTTGTACTACTGATGAGTTTGCTGGGCTTGATATTCAGGAATTTGAACTGGCTTTTTTTCCCTCCTTTTTCTCTCCCTCCCCATACTGGAAGCTCTAAGTTTAAAAAAAAAAATCAAAAAACAAAGAGAGTAAATGCCAATCCATGGACTATCGAAGAACAGAAATAACAAAAAAAATCACCTGCCTTATTTATGCTGATAATCCATCAGGACTGGTTTTTTTTTATATAAAGTTTTCTTTTCTTTTTTTTTTTTTAGTCAGTCGTGGGGCCTGAACTCTGAGCCTGGGCGCTGTCCCTCAGCTCTTCAGCTCAAGGTGAGTGCTCTACCACTTGAGCCACAGCACCACTTCCGGCTTTTTCTGCTTATGTGGTGCTGAGGAATCAAACCCAGGGCCTCATGCATACAAGGCAAGCACTCTATCACTGAGCCACCTTCCCAGCCCCAAAGACTGGTTTTTGTAAATTTAGTCTCAGAACTTTGAAAGAGAAGTATCATTTTCAGGCCTAGTCAGGTTAAGTCAACACTCAACCTATTATGTGTGGACACATTGATGACTAAGCCAATTCTGATGTCTTCTTTCCCACTATTTTCTTTAACACCAGGAAAAATAGAAGATAGGTCAAAGTGCTAAGAGTAAAGCTTACAAACATGTGAGGTAATATTGTGATGATATAAGTGGGAGTTTCCTATGAGGAAACACAAAAGCTTTGTATGAATTTATTCTAATTGAAAAGATGTACTCTGTAAGATTCTCTGGGGTATGGCCAAAATAAGGAATGGCAAGTATTTTCAAAAAGTAAGAGCAAAGGGTAAATTTTTCTCCACATATAGATATACTCTATATCTTAATAATAAGCAAATAGAATTTAGAGAAACAAAAAAAATTGAAAATATGAAAGACAGAATTTAAAGCTTCTTTGCTGGTTCAATCATAAAAGTGCATTATAACTAAGAATCACATTTCCACACAATGCTTTTCCAAATGTTCAGAGTTAATATGGCAGAATCAAAGCTGGAGGGACCTTGAAAGTTGCCCTACCTAACTGCTCACCAGTGAGAAATCCCTTCTTCAAAGCTCAGGACTCAGATGAATGTGTGCAGACAGAGTAGCTCTTGGACAGTAATTTCCCCTTTCTAACCATGTCAAATCAGCCGAAGGAAACAGACATATTTTGTCACCAAAGGAGAAAAACAACTTGCCTTGTAAAACCATTTTGTATAAGTTCTCTTTGAAGTTTCTGATCTTGAGCAGCATACTCAGAAAGTTCGGATTCCATTGCCGGAGGGAGAATGTTTGGAATAAATTTAGAAAATAGAGATGGAGCCATCTGAACCCACTCTGTGAGGGAAGAAAAAGATTGATTTAAGGAACTCGAAGAAGCAAAGTTCAATGAAAAGGGGGAAGCTTTCTTTTGTTTAAAGAATGAAAAATAAAACAAATTTAAAATAGGAGAATTAATTAAATGCTATTTCAGTAAAGAACACACAAAAGTTTAAATTTCCTAGAAAAAAAATAGAGTATAATGAAGGAAGTAAGACATTTTTACATTTTACTGACTTAACAAAACTTACTGACAATCTCTAGGGGGAATTTTTAATGGAACTTGTCAGTAATCCTAAATATGGAGGGAAACATCCATGAGAATACCAAGTGGGAGGGAGCTGTCTTTCCAAGTCCCAACCCTATTACCTATTAGTTAAAACAACTGCTGTGCCTGTAATTCAGGAGGCCAACATCTGGAAGATAATGGTTTGAAGCCAAAGGGACAGAAAAGTCCTTTAGATGGCATCTCCAAAAAGGCCAGGCTGCAAAGTAGCTCAAGTATAAGAGTGTCAACTGAGCAAGTTAGAATCCCTGATTTCACATCCCAGTGCCAGGAAAGGTAAAAAAAAAAAAAAAAAAATACGAAAACAATATACACTGATTCAAAAGTAGTCTACTATAGAGCTAAATAATAGACGTATACAAAACAAGACAATACAAAAGAGGAGTAAGGGAGAGACTTGGGTATTTAGTAAGTGGCCTGGAGATACCTGGTTAGTACTTTTTGAGAGGTGGCTCACGCCTATAAATCCTAGCTATTTGAGGGGTAGAGATCAGGAGGATCACAGTGTATTTAGAAACCAGCCCCTGCAAAAAGAAGTAATGATCTCTAATATAAAGCTAGGCACAGTAGCATTTGCCTGTCATCCTGGCTATAAAGAAAGTATGAATAATAAGATCATGTTGTAGGCCAGCCAAAGCAAAAAGCAAAACTTCATTTGAGTAATAATAAAAGCAGAATGGGCTGGAAGCATGGCTCAAATGGTACAGTACCTTCCTAACAAGCTCAAGGCCCTGAGTTCAAACCCAGAAAACATCTTTTCTGGACCATGTTAAACTAGAAAAATGAAATTAAATATACAGAAAGTTAATGAGTTACTAAGATAAAAAAGTCCATAGAAAACAAAAAGACAAAGGAAGTCACAAGAAATATTTGTATTAGACATGACAAAAATTACTATATAAGAGAATATTTGCACAAATGATAAAGAGGTTGAAAAAAAAGTAACCTTCTTAAAGTTAAATAAGCTAAATAATCCCTCTAACTCAGTGAGCATACAATAAATGGTGCTCACTAGCAAAACCAGAATTCTTCTCACTTGTTCGTGGTCTTCAATTAATACTGCTGTCCCTTTTCAGCTGTTTTTATCCAGCCCTTTCAACATTTTCCTTCTGCAAAACATTTTGGCTGCTGATTCAAAAACCATAAGAATGCCAAAGCTCTTCAAGCAAGAGCTTTAGAATCTGCAATCTGAGTAGATAATGTAAATCTGACAAAATCACATCTAACATTGGGTTACTGGTGAGTGAAAAAAAAAGTAGGAAAAAACAATGTCCAATGGGAGAAGAGCTAAGTTAAAGACAAGGCAAACACTGCAAATGAAACTGAGCCACTCTTTACCATGTGCCCTGGCTTATACCAAACAAACATTGTCAACAGTGTCCCTCCTGCCAGCTACCAGCTCTAAAAGGCCTCCAGAGAAAGCCACTCCAATGCTCTGGAGAACCACTAGGTGGAGAACCAGAGGTGCCAGTCAAATCTTTCAATGACTTCACTGAACTTCAGGTGCTCATTAACAAAAACACGAAGAAATAATGTCTGTGTTAGGTGAAAAGGAAGTACAGTCAGATGTCTGTGACTGCTTCTGAAATGATGGGTTAAAACAACAACAATGACAGGTCCTCAGACTCTCCCATCTCCAAGGCTTAGGCTTAGGGCCAGGAATGTAGAATTAAAAACTTTCCCAGGCCACTCACATGCAGTCCCACTGAGGAGCCCTGCAAAGGAAGAAACCCTGATGTTTAGCTTTAAGTTTTAAAATAGTCTAGTCAGGTGAAAAATACTCTGTCAGGTGAACAGAACTGCTTTAATAAACCAGGAAAATAATGGGTACCTCCAAGATCTATAAATGTCAAAATGGGTTTAAAAGTATCTCTGAGAATACACAGGGAAATAGAAGGTTAATCAGTGGTAAAAGTCACCATTTGAAAAGGACAATTCTCAAATACAGAATTTTCCTCATAAGTAGAATCATCATATTACAAGAACTCAACCTGGATAAAATAACATTTAGGTGCTGGGCACTGGTGGTTCATGCCTGTAATCCTAGCTACTCAGGAGGCTGTGATCTAAGGATCACGGTTCAAAGCCAACTGCCAACCTGGGCAGGAAAGTCCGTGAGACACCTATCTCCAATAAACTACTCAGAAAACTGGAAGTGGCGCTGTGGCTCAAGAGGTAGAGCACTTGCCTTAAGCTGAAGAGCTGAGGGACGGCACCCAAGCCCAGAGTTCAAAGCCCCACAACAGAACAAAAAAAAAAAAAAAAATAGGTAAACATGTATCTATAATTCTTTTCTACCCACACTAATTAGCTTTATTTATTTATTTTTTGGGGTCCGGTTGTGGGGCCTGAACTCTGGGCCTGGGTGCTGTCCCTCAGCTCTTCAGCTCAAGGCTAGCGCTCTACCACTTGAGCCACAGCGCCACTTCCGGCTTTTTTCTTTTTGCTTATGTGGTGCTGGGGAATCGAACCCAGGGCCTCATGCATTGCAAGGCAAGCGCTCTACCACTGAGCCACCTTCCCAGCCCCTAATTAGCTTTATTCTGTAATTGTGTAATTCTGTAATTGTGTATTCTGTAATTCTGATAAAGCTGCCAATTCAGGAGGCAGACATTTTTGTCACATTGCAACCTTCCAACAGCAAAGAAGAAACATTCATAATCTAGGCTCCTCCCCCAATTTCCTGAGTTACTTTCACTACACTGGGAAGATGAAATTCAAAGTTCTGAGGGAAAAAAAAACTATCAGTTTATTGGGCATATGTTTTTGCACTTTTTGCAAATAAATACTTCATACAATTCCTGTTAAAAACTGTAATACAGAGCTCAAGGCCTGATTCCATTTAAGGAACAAAAAATTTGAACATTCTGGAAAGCACTATTTAAAACAGCCTGAGAAAGTATGTAAAAAAATCAGCTTATCTGCTACTAGAGAATTCACCTAATTCCTCTCAGAAAGCTAAATTCTGATATCTTTTAATTAACCAAAAAGCCATCAATTAATTAAAATGAATATAAAATAACCATTAATTGAGAGGGCAACAAGTTATTATTTACGTAATTGTTATCAAGCTAATAAATCATGTTTTATTTCATTTAACCTTCGGACAACAAAAGAATCTTTTAGCAAGTGCAATGTTTTTAAAGATTGCAGAACAACGTTCCACCCTGAGAACTTTCGCAATCTCTCTCCCAAGGGTGTGATTTTTCCACTACTAGCTAGATAACTCCAAGACAAAACAGGAGGCTCTGGCTCAAGAATTAGAGACCAATTATTAGGGTACCTTAGGATTTTTCTTTCTTTTGGGGATGGAGGGGTGGGACTGGGTTGTTTAAACTTAGGGTATGATACTTCCTCAATACTTAACCATGCCTTCAGCACATTTCTGCTTTAGTTATTTTTCAGGTAGTGTTTGGTGTTCTAACTCATGCCACTCTGGACCTCAATCCTTCTGTACCTCCCATGTAGCCTGGATTGATAGGTATACACTACCTAGCCTAACTTGTTGGGTAAGATGGGAGCCTAACTTTTTTCCTGTGGTTGGCCCTGATCTCCACTTGAGTGTTGGTATTACAGGTGTGAACCACTGCCCTTTAATTTTTTTTTAATCTATAAAAAGTTTTTATTCTAAAGACAGGCATATACCTCTAATACTATGCCTTTAAATACAATAATCTTTGACTTTTAAAAAATTGCTCCTCTGAATATATATTGTTCACAAACATCTCCATGAGGGACTGTAACCAAGATTTCTAGGTATCTGACAGCTATGTACTAGGCTAGGAAGATGGGAGTTTTTATAAATGTGTATGCCTATGCATACTTGGAAGTATGGAGTAGGAAGAAAAGGACAAACACCCTAACAATTAAGACAAGAAATAAAACAAAACATGAGATTATAAAGTTTTTTTGAAGTCTCACAATTTAACCCTCAAACTAGCCATGCTCCTGTCTCAGCCTCGTACAGACATATACACTCGTAAGATTCAAGTTTACCCAATGTGTCCTAGAAATCATTTCACAGTGTCACAAAAACCAAATTAGTTGTTTTCCACTAGAGTTCCAAATGAGTTTTGAGTTTACATTTCATACTAACGAATATCTACACCATCATGCCCCCCCTACCCTACCCAGTGCCTCAAACTTGGCTTTTCTTTCTTTGACATAGGCCACATACAACACATAGAGAACCAATGTCTGTTGGATAAGGCTATAATAAATAAGTCTAATCCCAGCAGAAATGACAGATGTTTACCTGGTCTGAGAGTATACAGGCCTTTCACAATATTTGCCATAGTTGAAGGTGTGACCTGAAATGGTGTTGACTGGGCTTCTAATAGTAAAGCTGGAATAAGAAGAGAAAACTGGTTTTTACAAAACATGTAACACCTGCTAAGTGACATCAAAATTCTCTATTATTATTCCTAAGACTAAAACATACACAAAAGTACAAGGAACAGCTCAAGAGGACAAAACACAAATTGAAATACTAAGACTGAAAACAAAACCCCAAGACTTCAGGGGCACTAATGGACCAGGCTGGGCCAAGCATTCTCAGAGGAGTGAGGCTTTCTAAGTGCAAGTACTGTGGCACTTAGTGAACTCAAAGTGCACCTATTACATGTGAGGAATAAAAGGACACACAATACACTCTTCGCCATCATCTCTTGTCCCCTCAAAACACTAGATCTGAGGCTCTTCCCATTTTATAGGTTAAGTACCTCTTATCTGCATTGCTTCGGATCAGAAGTGTTTTGAATTTCATGATTTGCATAGATTTTTACTAATCCTAATGTGAAAATGTGAAGTGGTCCAAAATCTGTCATGCTCCAAAAGTCACAGTCAAAGCACTGTGAATTCTGAATTACTGGACTAGGGATGCTTAACTAGTAGTAATATTTTTTTGTGTGGGTGCCAAGTCCTGAGGGGCTTGAATTCAGGGGCTAGATACTATCCTTGGGTTTTTTTCACTCAAGGCTACCTAGCGCTTTCTACATTTGAGCCACAGCTCCACTTCCAGCTTTTTGCTAGTTGAAGAGTCTCAAGGACTTTCTTACCCAGACTGGCTCTGAACTTTGATCCCAAGATCTCAGCTCCTGAGAAGCTAGGATTTAAGGCATGAGCCACTGCCACTGGTGCCCAAAAACCTGCAGTAATTTTATTAAGTGATCAGGGACAGAATTCACTTTGCCAGATGATAGTTTTATCTACTTTTTCTTCCTAATGGCAAGGGTCAGAGCTGACTACATACTTTCTCCATTTGAACCATTTTGGTAACAACATAACCCTGGCTCTCAACATGAGAACAAAAGAAGTTTGCTTAACTTACCTATAGCCACACAACATTTTCTTTAAAAAAAAAAAAAAAAGTGTTTTAACAAATAGGAGTAATTCCTCTAGGTAGCATCAGTAACAGAAATCCTATTGGCTAGCAGACAGAATGAATGCCAGTGACCTAAAAGAGTTCACTTTTAACTTATCTCTCAAAACAATTTGCTAGCGAAAAACTTCATTAACAACAAAAATTTTAAATGGCATAATTTTACTCTAAGCCACATTTGTAATGGACAAACTGATTTCCTCTATCCATATCTTTCTAAAAATGGAAACATCATGTTATTTGGCCAAGGCACAGTACGAATTTCACTGAAATTGATATAATGAGGCCGTAAGAGGTGCACTGTTGAATTTCATCCTTCCCATTCAGCAGCAACATGACAATTTTGACCAGCATAAGTAGATTTCAACATTTTTAAAGATGACAAATGTTAATTATGTTCAGAAAAATCATATTTCTCTAAAATACAATGTCTAAAAATGGAAATTCTAAACGTAAAGCTGTTTGTGAGTACTTAAGGATCTCTTTAATTTTAACATGTATCACAAATCCAAACTCTCACTCTTTACAAATCCACACTCCTAGTTTTCACCATCACTGACTTCCCCTCTTCCAAGTTCAACAACATACTTATATGGTTGGGCTCTGTCTCTCTCAGTCTCTCAGTCTCTGTTTCTCTCTCTCTCTGCCCCCCTTCTCCAAAATGCCCTGTTATAAACACCCTGTGTCAGCTGATAGCTGCAAAGAGGTAACAAAAGTAAATCCTGAATGATATCTTAATGAATATCATTAATTTGGGATGAATTAACTGAAAAAATGACAATCAAGAATAACATTAAAATTGAGAAATTGCAATATATCACTATAATCTTTTCTTGCCTAAACTTTGGAAGAAAATTGTAACTTAAATCATTTTCTAATCTTCCTTTTTAAGGAGAAAAGTTGAGGAAGTAGAAAGGAAATTTTTACGAGCATGTTAACAGGTGCTAGTTACTTTACACACCTCATAAATTTTATTTAATATAGGATTTAATGTCTCAAAGGCCTCATCATTCTCTACATCTATTAAAAAAAAAAAAAAGATGAGTAAACTGAGCATAAAAACAAAAGAAAAACCTTCCCAGATAATCACAGGGCAAGATGTCAACTGAAGAGGTCCAAAACACATATTCCCGCTTTGAGTTCTCCACAGGGCCCACAGACACACTGCTTTTATAAGCACTGACACTAGTAAGGATCTTCTTAAAATTGTATGTTAAAATCTATTATCCGTAGGCATTAATTAATAAATTATATTTTTAAAACTAGAGAAGATTGAGGAGCTCCTAGTCCTACTCTCTCTATTGCTGGGTTATAATGTGAAAGTCTCCAGTGTCTTGCTGGGTCAGGAGCTCCTCTGCTATTCCAAATACTCCTCAGAGCTTCAGGCTTCTATTTGATTACTATAAAAATGAAAACTAAAACCAAAATACATAACCTCAAAACTTCCAAATTATAAGGGTCTGAACTAAAATTTCCTAAGGAAACTAACAAAAATGTAATTACTTAAAAGTCTGCACACTTGGGCTGGGAAGGTGGCTCAGTGGTAGAGCGCTTGCCTTGCATGCCTGAGGCCCTGGGTTCGATTCCTCAGCACCACATAAGCAAAAAGAAAAAAGCCGGAAGTGGCGCTGTGGCTCAAGTGGTAGAGTGCTAGCCTTGAGCTGAAGAGCTGAGGGACAGCGCCCAGGCCCAGAGTTCAGGCCCCACGACCGGACCCAAAAAAAAAAAATAAAAAAGTCTGCACACTGAACTATAAATCTGTTGACTTCCAACTTCCGCATACTACATTTTCACTGCAAATTTCTACCATTTACCTGACCCCCCCATGTTTATTGTCACATGTGTGCACACCACACCACACCACTATACCACCACTAGATGAAAATGATCACACCATGAAGCTGACAGAAAACCAGTGAGAAGTCAAGACTTTGTTTATGGAAGTCCCTATTTATAAATAACATGGAACACTGAATATTACTTTTTTTAAAGCATACAAGCTGTTCTTTTGGCCTTGATATAGTAACTTGAGAAAGGACACTGCCCATCAAGAGACACATACACATTCTCTCACCATGAGTCCGAGCTCCTATCACTGCTCACCCAACAGAATGACATGGTAATTTTCTCTGCCCAGGAGTTGCTGTTTCCTATCTTAAGACATTCACTCACAGAAGTAACACAAAAGAAACAAAAGCCACACCAACTTACTCACCAGCCATGTGACTGAGTCACACTGAAAACTCCATTTGAGCCTCATCAACCAACACTGAACAGAGGAGATAAACTCTCTCACCAGGCCCTTCCTAAATTGCAGAGCAAAGTAAAAGACTGCTGCTGTTTTATGCTAGCAATTTTTTTCCAGATGATTTGTTACACAGCAATAATAAATGGAATACTAGCATTTCCAAATGTATCTGATGTCCAAAGAAGAAAATTACTGATCAAATGAGACTTTAGAAAAATCACAGAAAGTGAATACTTGCTGTATTAAGGGGATGATAGAAAATGTGTAACAAGAGAAAAACATTCTGTAAAGACTGTGTTACTGTGCTTTCAATTAATATTGATCTCTGCCTGTTTCTCTAGTAGTAACTACTATTCTATAGGGCTATGAGAATTAAGTTACTATTTGAAAGAGACCTAGAATAGGTAATACCGTGTGTGTGTGTGTGTGCGTGCGTGTGCGTGCGTGCGTGCGTGCGTGTGTGTGTGTGTGTGTGTGTGTGTTGTGCGTGTGTGCTGGAAAAAAATCTTGGTAACAATCCTCCACACAACATTGTTAAACATTTAGAGTCCCTTGGACCCCAAACCAATGGGACAAGTGGTAACTTTAAAGAAAGGCAATGAGTACATTTCTTGTTGAACATTGTTACCCCCTCTTTGTTTTTCTCCATCCATTATTCTAAGTACAATTCCCTGTAATACCTCTGTAATACCTCATAAATTGTTTTATACAACTTATATAGAATTTTAAACTTAAGAAGCAAAAGGTTTATCTTTAAATGTCATCTCTATGGAAAATCAGGCTACATGATGTACAAGAGGTATCCATTCATGTTTTTCTTCCTCTGAAGGGAGTATGATATTCTCTTTTGAGTATCCTCTTTCCATATGCCCAATAAAGTTGACTTTCAAATCATACCAGATATAAAAATATTCTTAAAGGAAATAGGCATTTTTTTGGTATGTCCCTCCCCCCACAGTATAACCCCTGCTTTCACTGTATTTGATGTCAGTATAATTTGTGGAGGGGAAGGGGAAAAACAAGTCGTTTAAATAAGGATACAGGTGGACCTGTTGCAACAATGAGAAGTACAAGTTGTCATGATGAAAATGAACTTTACAACTTGGGGGGGGGATTGGGAGGGGGGAGGGAGGATGGGAAGGGATGGGAAGGGTAAACAAAGGAGGAGGCTACAATGCTTGATAAGAAATGTACTCACTATCTTGCCCATGTAATTGTAACCCCTCTGTACAGTATTTTCACAATAAAAAAAAAAATCAAAAAAAGGAAATAGGCATTTTTACCAGAGTGTTAACATTCCTCTATAGAATTTTCACAAGGAAAAAATGTGCTGCATTTTACAACAAAAGACCAAGACAATGTCAACATCAGAAGAAATACTTAGATGGTCAAAATCAGTAACTGAAAAACCTCATGAGATAATGTTCAGAAATGTTTGTAAACAACTTTGTAGTCTTTTTTTTTAAATGTATGTCTGGACCTCCATTCTAGACTCTGAAATCTCTGTGAACATAGTAAGGAAGCATAGATCCTCTCCATCCACTACTGTTTGAAAATGTGACCTTTTCTAAAAGTGACCCCAAGTTTAACAATTCCTTTTTTAAATTTCAAATGGAAAAGTTCTTGGTCAAATTTGGAACAATCCTCCTGTATATTCTGGTAGAAGTTCATTGTGACAGTAATGAACAGTAACAGTAAAACAAGAAAATACATATTGCAAATCCAAATATATGCCATTTGTTAAAACATGTCTTGCTAGGAGCTGCATAAAGTAGGAGCTCTTAAAGGTAGCAGAGAGCCAGGGCCCTGAACTCCACTTGGAGAGGAGAGGTTATTCTTCCAGGGAAGATAGGATGGTATGCTACATTCTGCAAAGAGCAGGCAACCTGGGAACGGGGAGAGAGGAAAAGCTGACAACTAAGTTTTTGATCTCCTTATTCAACCATCTACATGGGCATATTAAACAGTTCACAAATCTTAGGTCAGAAAAGAGAAAAATTCACAGCCACAAGAAGCTAAGAAGCTTAGCACAAAGTTATACCACAGTGAAGAAGTGTTTCTGAATTAACAAGTAAAAAACTAGAGAATTCCATGCTGCCACTTCACAGGTGTAACATGCACTCCTTTCAGAGCCAGTGGCATTAAGTGAGGAGAGAAATTCCTAAGAATATTTCCCCTTAGTTGCATGTAGGGGGAAGGGGGAAAGGGCAAAAGGCAGCAAGTATCATGCTAGGCAAAAAATACTGTCCAATGATCTAGCAAACCAGCTCACTGAGTGATCTTCAAACCACATTTTCCAACTTCCCAGCATTTATCTCTATAGAATAAAGTGGGCCTCAAGACTTCTTGCTACCTGGCTCAAAATATGTCAACTTTGGAGTTTATACCACAATACTTTCAGACAAGGGAGTGGAGAAGAGAAACGGACATTATGGCCAGTGGTCTCACACCCTATAATAAATTCAATTACTTACGCATTAGGCTGTAAATGTGCTTTTCTGCAACGTGTTCAGTAAACAGCTTTATAAGGTCATCTTTTAAGTCTCTGTTAAGCTTGGTTTCAATGTAAAACTTATTCTGAAAAAGGGAAGAAGATTATTTCCAGTGTACCAATTAGGAAAAATAATTCATCTCATGAACTAAAACATTAAATACAGTGTTAAGCATCAATTAATAAAGACACCAATTTTAAAAACATATATTATCAAACAAAAGTCCCACTACTATGTTGCATGTCTTTCTGCATAAAGTTGAAGAATTAAAACAAAAAACAAAAAAAAAAAACTATGAGGCATACTATCTCCAAAAGAACAATGCCAAGAGTCAAGTGCCGATGGCTCACACCTGTAATCCTAGCTACTCAGAAGGCTGAGATCTGAGGATTGCTGTTCAAAGCCAGTCCCTGAGACTCTCCAATAAACCACTCAGAAAACTGGAAGTGGTGCTGTGACTCAAGTGGTAGAGCCCTTGCCTTGAGCTGAAGAGCTCTGGGATAGTGCCCAGGCCCAGAGCTCAAGCCCCACGACTGACAAAACAAAACAAAAAAAAAAGAAAGAAAGAAAAAAAAAGAACACTGCAAGATCTTAAATATTAACCTGATAGGAATGTAGAGACAGTATGGCACCACATGGGTGATATAACTTTTAAATATATCAGCACCTAAAGACAACTCTGGGACACACTTGTGAAAGGTACCATTTTTCACTATTTGGGCTAAGTGTAGGCTATGCATATGTACTGATCACTAGTCAATACACACTCTATTCAACACTCAGTTGACTCTTTTGGCTTGTGGCATTGCACAGGGACCATCTTTGCTCTAAGGTTGACACCCATCACAACCTAATCAACTAAGAGCAAGCTTTTTCGGGCATTTCATAACTGAGGACAAGGTGAACAATGTGGTCATTAAAAAAGAACCAGAGATTCAAACCATCATGGAGACTGCCTCCCTCCTGTGTTCTGTTACAGGACATAGTATTTTTCCTTATTTATTTAGATCACTTTGAATCTCTCCTGCTTTATTTTTTACAATTAGCTGATTATATTTTGACCTATGGAAAATAGAACATGCTTATAATTTTTTGAAAAAGAGCCAACAGTTCTAACTCACCATATATATGAAAAGAGGCACAATGCTCTGCAGTGCTCCCATATACTGTCCAAGAGCTATATTAAATCTTTCAATATAGAGATCTGGCGGGCTGGCCTGTGAGACAGAACATAAATGTGATCATTTGGGGAAACCAGCACAAACTGAAATGCAAGTCCTTCCAGCACAAACTGAAATGCAAACAGATTTAGAAGTAACACAAAATTCATGTGAAAGTTTACATTAAAGAAAAGAGATTTATACTCTGAAGACTTCTTTGTTTCAAAGTTTTGGTTTAGCCATTTTAAAAACTGTACAACCTGAATGTATTAATTAAAAGGCTTGTTCTCCTAATGAGTAAAGATGAACATTAAAAATAAAGGTAAGAGGTGGGGTGCTGGTGGCTCATGCCTGTAATGGTAGCTACTCAGAAGGCTGAGATTGGAGGATCATGTTTCAAAGTCAGCTAGCACAGGAAAGTCCTTGAGACTCATCTCCAATTAATCACTAAAAAGATGGAAGTGGAGCAGTGGCTCAATTAGTAGAATAAAAAAAGCTTCAGAATAGCACCCAGGCCCTGAGTTCAAGCCCCAGGACTGGCAAAAAAAAGACAGCAAGTATGATTAAAAAAAAAAATCACTGATGTTTGCAGATACTTTCTATAAGAACCAGACTATATTGGGAGGATTCAAGGAAGTGGTACAAGTCAAACATACTATTAGAATGGCTAATGATTTTTTACAATCATCTTAGATTCAGTAACATATAGAGTTCTAAGTGAGCTTGGTTATAAATAGCTTTGTGGCTAAACAATACAAACAATGCTAGCTAGAAATCAAGGACACAAATAATCCACAAATATTGGCAGCTCTAGAGTTTAGAATAATGCACCTCCTATATAATAAATCCACTACAAAATATCAAAATACTAGATCACAAAGCTATCAAGAAAACAACTTCAGTTTTATTGTGTGCTGCTGATTTAATGTATTTGTCCTCCTAAAACTAAAGTCCCAATCTCTAGTGCAGCTATATTTGGAGGAAGTATGATGTCATAAAGGGTAGGGTTCTGATCCATAAGGATACTGTGCTTATAAAGAGATCCAAAGAGCTTACTCATATACACACCCCAACCCTTACCCTCACAATGCGGCTCAGGGAATAAAGGCTGTATGAGGGCTCCAGTGAGCAGCTCATAGCAGCACCTCTAAGTCAGGAGGACAGCTCTCATCAGAACTGAAACAGCTGCCCTCTTCATCTTGGGCCTCTCAACCTTCAGAACTATAAAAACAACTGACCTTGTTTTAAGTCACTCACTCTAGTATTTTTACTTGATTATTTTTTGGTAGCAGACCAAGCCGAGACATTGTATTTCCACAAAAGCACATCGATCGATATGTCATTTTATTTTACTAATTATTTTTGTTTGTTTTGTTTTTGTCGGTCATGGGGTTTGAACTCGAGCCCTGGGAACTGGCCCTGAGCTCTTCAGCTCGAGGCTAGCACTCTACCATGTCAGCCACAGCAACATTTCCAGTTTACTGGTGATTTATTGGAGATAAGAGTCTCAGACATTCCTGCCCAGGCTGGCTTTGAACCGCGATCCTCAGATCTCAGCCTCCTGAATAGCTAGGATTACAGGCATGAGACACTGGTGCCCAGCTCTAATTAATTTTAATGTTGAAGAAACTTAAGCAGGACAGTAATTTGCTTAAGGAATTAACAAATGATAGATCTAGGTATTCAACTGAAAATTCATTCGTGGGTCAGGATGTGGTGGAATGGGCATGATACAAAACACCAAACAAAATGTATTCATGTGAAAGACTCAGGATCTGACCACCATATCTTAAACACAATGTCTTGCATTTAAACAAGACATTAAGAAATGCCACACTAAATCCTAACTTTGCATTATTAAATCTAATTATGTTAAGACTCTATAGAAAATAGATCATGTTTAACATTATTAAACCTAATTAGGTTTAATAATGCAAAATTATGAAGCCATTCCCAAGCTACTTTAGAAATATCTGAATAGTCTCCTACTATTTTAAAGTAAAATTACATTTTTTTTTCAGTTCTACTTAGAAGCTTAGAATTTGTCTGGGGAGCTGTCTTCATGGCTCAAATTTATCTTCTATTAACGAGCAACTACAAGTCTGATGCATGCTAAGTACACCAGTTCCATTTTTCTTCCTTGGTCAAACTGAGCCCTACAGTATTAAAATTCCGTTTTGTTACCCTGAACCCCTCTTTTTTCAGATTTTATTTTTTTATTATCCTTAAGTATTTACGAAGGAGTTGCCACTTAATAGTTTATGAATGCAATGCACCTTGATCCGCGCCACTACCTTCAACATGCTCAATCATGCTTCCCGACTCACCACTCACCCCTTCCCTCCTCTGAATTTTGATGGCTATACATTGAATTCTTGACTGCATTCTCCTCCTCTCCTCCTCTTCATTCATCTACTCTTTTCTCCTTGACCCCACCCCACCCTTTTCAAGTATTCCCTTCCTTTTTTGCATCTTAAGTTCACAGTTTTCAGTTCTGTTAAAACTCTGGCTCTCTTCAAGAGCAGCTTACAACATGGAACTACTAACAGGCTGCAAACAACATCCATGTGCAGCTTCAGGCCTGGACTATTCTTTCTGCCTAACACCACTCCACTTGCCCTCAGACCTTCTTTACAATTTATGCCACTTCTTCAAAACTATCTGAAGCCCCTGGGCCCTTCAAGGGAGCAACTCACTCACTGCTCTCAGTGAGTGGGCTCTGCCACTGACTGCAAATCCTTAGAGGACAAGAGCTGTCTCTCCTGTTCACCTCCAATCTAACCAGAGCTCCTGTAACACAGGACAGACAGAGGGATAAATATATTCTCTAAGGATGAAGTATTTTTGAAACCTAAATGTTCAATCTAAATCTAATCTATCTTTTAATGTAAATTTCTATCTTACTATTAATAAAGCTATATGCAATGGCCAATTCATTTATCACTGTGAATTTCAATCTCTATACTAAATTAGGAAAAAATACCCAACTGTGCTACTATGAGGATGTGCTGAGAGTCAAAGAAAATAATGTAGAAGTGTTGTGAAAAACATCATGTTTTTCATATGTGTAGAATTAGTCAGAGTTTTCTTTTTGAATTAGCTACATTTCATTTAATCTAGAAAACTCCAACATTTTTTAAAGCATTCTCAAGAACATGGAGAAAATGGTTCCACATCACAGGCAAACTTTTAACTACCATTAATAAACACAATCACATACAATATCATCTTTTAAGCTGCTTCAAAGAACTCTGGAAATGATATATCAGCATTCAAACAAGTTGTACAGGTATTGTGAGTAAAGAAAACCTTAAAAGCTGCTGCATTAAAATAATTTTCTCTTTTCATAAAAAAACACTTTATCCAAGTTAAAAATGTGAATGCTGATCAAAAGGTACATTTAACAGCAAAGAGAATAAATAAAATTGCATTCCTTTATTACGCCTTTCAAGTATACCCAAGCCCTCAAAGATTGTAAGTATTAAGAGTACTTTTTGTACTGAATCAAATGTCAGAACGCTTAACTTTTTTACTTTCATACAGCACTTACTCAAAACCTTTTAAATGACAAGACTATAAGTTATAAACAGTCTTCTAAAATAAACACAGTCTTTTCTAGGAAGCTGGAAACAAATGCCATTTTGAAAAATCTAATCAAATGTTCTTTCTGAAGAACTCACATTCAGAATACTTTGGGCTCCATTGGGAAAATGCTATCTAGTTGATTTATATTATTTTATCCTATTTGGCTTCCACATTAAACAAAATTTTTCTCTGGCCAGAAGCCAGAAAAACAATAGCAATCACCAGAAACTCATTCCAACCTCTATTTATTTATTGACTGATTTACTTATTTTTGGTAATGCTGGCATGGAGCCCCAGACCTTACGCAAGCTATGCAAGCTATGTATGTTGATTACCTCAATGACAATTTCCCCTGGCTCTGCAAGACATCACTACCACTGCACCACACTTGTGGCTTTCATAATACACTGTTCTCTAAAATCCTCTCTCCCTCCCCGTCTCACTCACTATTTGTGTGTATGTGATGAATAAATGCATTCTGTGCTTTAGAATTCAAATGAGTTCAAATGTGTTTAGAGTCCCACTTTTACTCTTTCTTTGAAGCAACTAGCACTTAATTCACTTATATCTTTCCAGAAAAAATTTGCATATAAAGCATTTATAGCTGGTTTTGCACAAATGCCTCCATATAAACACTATGATCTTCATTTTTCCTAACATGTATCTTGAGATTGGTTTTAGTCTGATGATTAGCAAACATTTGGTCTCTGACACCACTTTTTACTATTAAAAATAAATATTCCAAAAAGCTTACAAGCACATACACATGCATGCACACGTGTGCGCTCATGCGCTCAAGTGTGCGTGCACGCATGCACGCACACGTGTATGCACACACACACACACACACATCTGAGACTGAAGAGAGGATCACTTGAGCTTAGGAATTCAATACCAGCCCAGGAAATAGCAAGAGATTATCTGAAAGAAAGAGGATGAAAAAGGAAAAGATCTTAACATTTTTTATGAAAAAAATCCCAACAACTACGTTTTCCTACATAAAATGAAAATTTAGCAAGAGTGGCATTATTTTGACATTTCTGCAAGTCGCTTTCGAGCCTGGCTTAATAGAAGACAGCTGGATTCTCATATCTACTTCAGTACTGCAGCAACTGTGACATGTTTTGAAGTAAATGAAAAAAAATTACCTTCACACAAGATATGTAGATGGTAAAGGAAGTATATTTATTAGCCTTTTCAGGCAATTACAGATATTTTCCCCTGAAACTTGACAAGTAGTTTCTTAAAGGTTAGTTGCAAAGTGAATTCTGAACTCTGAAGCTACCAATGTATTTTATTCCCAATTATATTACAATCCTCTGGTTTATCTTCTACTTTAAAGCATATATTTCTAACATCTCATACTGATCATCTGGAAAATACTAATTCACCAAGTCACATCCTCACTGTACACTAAAAGAAAATACATTTTTAGTAAAGCCACCTATCTGGTCCAAAGAGTCTTGTGTTAA